TCAGGAAAAATGGCCAGGGGTACGGGATATACTTTTGGGATGGGACTGGGAGGGGGGGGGAGGAATGGTGCCCAACCACTTGGACGATCGGGAATTGAACGCCGACCTGCATGAAACGAGACCGTCGCTCTTCCGTCCAGCCCAAGTGGTTGCATAAGGGTGAAAGGTGTGAAAGCCGGTGAAAGCATGCGAAGAGGGGACAGAGATCCGGATTCAGACGGTTACCCATTCTTTAACCGGCTACTCTCTTTAACCACTGAAAAGTCTGTATATACGAGGATGGAAGGGAAAGGGAGGGAGGGTAGCGAGCGTGACGAAGAAGGGGGAAGAGGAAGGAAGAGGGAATTTTTTAATTATCAGGGGAAAGCGCCATGCCATTACGGCTTTATAGCACTGGGAAGGGTCCAGGATGAGGATTTGGGACGGAACGGACGGGGGGATGGAATGGTGTCCTTCCACTTGGATGGTCGGGGATTGAACGCCGACCTGTATGAAGCGAGTCCGTCACTCTACCGTCCAGTCCAAGAGGCTGACAAGGAAGAGGGGAATGGAGGTAGGAAAATGAGTCAAAAGGAGGACAGAGGGTAATAAAGAGGGTAATGTGTGGAGAGGGGAAGAAAGAGTGGTGAAGGGGGGGTTGGTTGAGACTATCCCTGGCACTGCTGTGAACCTTCACTATTATATGTAAGTGCATTAGCAAAGAGTAATTTATAGACGTGACAACTCTTAGTAGGATTTTATGTTTCTAATGGATCTCTGTAATTGTTGGGATTAACAATGATAATATTAGTGTAGGACACCTTATCCTTGGCTGCCCCAAGGGCAGTGCCTTAAGGCTCTGTGCCCCAAGGACAAAGTGCCCCAAGGCTCTGTGCCCCAAGGACAGAGTGCACCAAAGACTGAGTGCCCCAAGGCTCTGTGCCCTAAGGGCCGAGTGCCCCAAAGACAGAGTACCCCAAGAACAGAGTGCCCCAAGGACAGAGTGCCCCAAGGACAGACTACCCCAAGGACCGAGTGCCCCAAGCATAGAATGCCCCAAGAACCTGAATGGCCCAAGGACAGAGTCCCCCCAAGGACCGAGTGACCTAAGGACAGAGTGACCTAAGGACCAGAGTACCCAAAGGACAGAGTGCCCCCAAGGACAGAGCGCCCCAAGGACAGAGTGCCCCAAGGACAGAGTGACCTAAGGACCAGAGTGCCCCAAGGATATGGACGAAGGGACAGGCGAGCAGGGGAGGACGAAGGGGGTGGAACCAAGGGGTTGGGGACGAGGGAATCAAGGAGGAGATGGGAGAAGAGGCATGAAGTGGAGGGGGAGGGAGGCTGGTTGGTAGAGACAAACTGTCCCTGGCACCGCCGGGTACCCCTCCTGGTACCTAGTATTGGAGGTTTGATACTTGATACTTGAGGATAGCCTGACCCAACTTTTACAGTAGAAATAGTCTGCGGTGTGTGACAGACATAGGGTTTTCGTGTGCAGCCTAAATTAAATACTTTAAGAAATATAAATCTGTAATCCCCCCCCCCCTTTCACCTACAATTGCCTTGAGATTTTCATGCTGTCTTAAATGAAATCGCTGATGTGTTTTCCGTAGAGTTTTACTGACGTTTTCAAGATGTTCTGGAATACGGGGAAAACTGAATTCATCCAGAACACTGTGATGAAAACAAGGAGTAGGGGGAAGATGGGGTGATGACATGGGAGAAGAGGAATTGGAGGGGAAGAGGGAGAAGGAATAAGAGTGGGGAAGGGAAGGTGAAGGGGAGTGGAGAAGGGAAACAGGGAGTGGGGGAGATATCGAGAGAGAGAGGGGGTGAAACTGGAGAAGAGTAGAGGGTGAAAGAGGAGAGGAAGGATGAAGGTTGAAAGAGAGGGAGGAGGCGAAAGAGGGGAATGAGGAAGGAGAGAAAAAAATAAGGGAGCGGAGTAGTATGGGCAGATGGGATGAGAAGGGGAAAAATGGGAGAGAAGAGGGCAGAAAGAGGGAGAGGATGGGAAAGAGGTTCAAAGGACAGAGTGCCCCAAGGACAGAGTGCCCCAAGGACAGAGTGCCCCAAGGACAGAGTGCCCCAAGGACAGAGTGTCCCAAGTACCAGAGTGCTGGAAAGAATAGAGTGCCCTAATGACAGAGTGCCACAAGGACAGAGTGCTTCAAGGACCAGAGTGCCCCAAGGACCAGAGTGCCCTAAGGACAGAATGCCCCAAGGACAGAGTGCCCCAAGGACAGAGTGCCCCAAGAACCAGAGTGCCCTAAGGACAGAGTGCCCAAATGACCAGAGTTCGCCAAGGACCAGAGTGCCTTAAGGACAGAGTACCCCAAGGACAGAGTGCCCCAAGGACAGAGTACCCCAAGGACCAGAGTGCCCCAAGGACAGAGTGCCCAAAGGACCAGAGTTCCCTAAGGACCAGAGTTCCCCAAGGACCAGAGTGCCTTAAAGACAGAGTGCCCCAAGGACAGAGTGCCCCAAGCACAGAGTGCCCCAAGGACCAGAGTGCCTTAAGGACCAGAATGCCCCAAAGACAGAGTGCCCCAAGGCCTGAGTGAGCCCCAAGGACAGAGTGCCCCCAAGGACCAGAGTGCCTTAAGGACCAGAGTGCCCCAAGGACCAGACTGCCCCCAAGGACCAGAGTGCCTTAAGGACCAGAGTGCCCCAAGGACCAGAGTGCCCCAAGGACTAGAGTGCCCCATGGACCAGAGTACCTTAAGGACCAGGGTGCCTTAAGGACCAAAATGCCCCAAAGACAGAGTGCCCCATGGACAGAGTACCCCAAGGCCTGAGTGGGCCCCAAGGACAGAGTGCCTCATGGACAGAGTGCCCCAAGGGCTAAGTGCCCCTAGGACCAGAGTGCCCCAAGGACCAGAGTGCCCCAAGGACCAGAGTGCCCCAAGGACCAGAGTGCCCCAAGGACCAGAGTGCCCCAAGGACCTGAGTGCCTTAAGGACCAGAGTGCCCTAAGGATATAGTGCCCCAAGGACAGAGTGCCCCATGGACCAGAGTACCTTAAGGACCAGGGTGCCTTAAGGACCAGAATGCCCCAAAGACAGAGTGCCCCATGGACAGAGTACCCCAAGGCCTGAGTGGGCCCCAAGGACAGAGTGCCTCATGGACAGAGTGCCCCAAGGGCTAAGTGCCCCTAGGACCAGAGTGCCCCAAGGACCAGAGTGCCCCAAGGACCAGAGTGCCCCAAGGACCAGAGTGCCCCAAGGACCAGAGTGCCCCAAGGACCAGAGTGCCCCAAGGACCTGAGTGCCTTAAGGACCAGAATGCCCCAAAGACAGAGTGCCCCATGGACAGAGTACCCCAAGGCCTGAGTGGGCCCCAAGGACAGAGTGCCCCAAGGACAGAGTGCCCCAAGGACCAGAGTGCCCCAAGGACCAGAGTGCCCCAAGGACCAGAGTGCCCCAAGGACCAGAGTGCCCCAAGGACCTGAGTGCCTTAAGGACCAGAGTGCCCTAAGGATATAGTGCCCCAAGGACAGAGTGCCCCATGGATAGAGTGCCCCAAGGACCAGAGTGCCCCAAGGACCAGAGTGTCCTAAGGACAGAGTGCCCCAAGGACCAGAGTGCCTTAAGGACCAGAGTGCCCTAAGGATAGAATACCCCAAGGACAGAGTGCCCCATGGACAGAGTGCCCCAAGGACCAGAGTGCCCCAAGGACCAGAGTGCCCTAAGGACAGAGTGCTCCAAGGACAGAGTGCCCCAAGGACAGAGTGTTCCCCAAGGACAGAGTGTCTCTAGGACAGAGGGCTCCAAGGACAAAGTGTTCTCAAGGACAGAGTGTTCCCCAAGGACAGAGTGTTCCCCAAGGACAGAGTGCCCCCAAGGACAGAGTGTCTTAAGGACAGAGTGCCTCAGGACAGAGTGCCCCAAGGACAGAGTGCCCCAAGGACAGAGTGTTCCGCAGACATATTGCCCCAAGGACAGAGTGTTCCCCAAGGACAGAGTGCACCAAGGACAGAGTGCCCAAAGGACAGAGTGTGCCCCAGAAACAGAGTTTGCCTCAAGGACAGAGTGCCCCGAGGACAGAGTGTGCCCCAAGGACAGAGTGCCCCAAGGCTCTGTGCCCCAAGGACAGAGTGCCCCAAGGAAAGAGTGTGCCCCAAGGACAGAGTGCCCCAAGGACAGAGTGCCCCAAGGACAGAGTGCCCCAAGGAAAGAGTGTGCCCCAAGGACAGAGTGCCCCAGGGACAGAGTGTGCCCCAAGGACAGAGTGCCCCCAAGGGCAGAGTGCCCCAAGGACAGAGTGTGCCCCAAGGACAAAGTGTGCCCCAAAGACAGAGTGTGCCCCAAGGACAGAGTGCCCCCAAGGGCAGAGTGCCCCAAGGACAGAGTGTGCCCCAAGGACAAAGTGTGCCCCAAAGACAGAGTGTGCCCCAAGGACAGAGTGCCCCAAGGACAGAGTGCCCCAAGGACAGAGTGCCCCAAGGACAGAGTGCCCCAAGGACAGAGTGCCCCAAGGACAGAGTGTGCCCCAAGGACAGAGTGTGCCCCAAGGACAGAGTGCCCCAAGGACAGAGTGCCCCAAGGACAGAGTGCCCCAAGGACAGAGTGCCCCAAGGACAGAGTGTGCCCCAAGGACAGAGTGTGCCCCAAGGACAGAGTGCCCCAAGGACAGAGTGCCCCAAGGACAGAGTGCCCCAAGGACAGAGTGCCCCAAGGACAGAGTGCCCCAAGGACAGAGTGTGCCCCAAGGACAGAGTGCCCCAAGGACAGAGTGCCTCAAGGACATAGTGTGCCCCAAGGACACAGTGCCTCAAGGGCAGAGTGTGCCCCAAGGATAGAGTGCCCCAAGGACAGAGTGCCCCAAGGACAGAGTGTGCCCCAAGGACAGAGTGCCCCAAGGATAGAGTGCCCCAAGGACAGAGTGCCCCAAGGACATAGTGTGCCCCAAGGACACAGTGCCCCAAGGACAGAGTGCCTCAAGGACATAGTGTGCCCCAAGGACACAGTGCCCCAAGGACAGAGTGCCCCAAGGACACAGTGCCCCAAGGACATAGTGTGCCCCAAGGACACAGTGCCCCAAGGATAGAGTGCCCCAAGGACAGAGTGCCCCAAGGACACAGTGCCCCAAGGATAGAGTGCCCCAAGGACAGAGTGCCCCAAGGACAGAGTGTGCCCCAAGGACAGAGTGCCCCAAGGACAGAGTGTGCCCCAAGGACAGAGTGTGCCCCAAGGACAGAGTGCCCTAAGGACAGAGTGTGCCCCAAAGACAGAGTGTGCCCCAAGGACAGAGTGCCCCAAGGACAGAGTGTGCCCCAAGGACAGAGTGTGCCCCAAGGACAGAGTGCCCTAAGGACAGAGTGTGCCCCAAGGACAGAGTGCCCCAAGGACAGAGTGTGCCCCAAGGACAGAGTGCCCCAAGGACAGAGTGTGCCCCAAGGACAGAGTGTGCCCCAAGGACAGAGTTGTAACAAACTAGGCTGTTGTAAGAATTATCCAGAGTGGTTTATCGACAAAAGAGAATGGGAAGCTGAGCCGCATGGTGACCTGACCCCCAGGGGAATTCGCGGTGGAAATAACCGACGCGTTGTTCATAGCTGCGTATAATGAATCATCCTATAGTATTCAGTAAATTAGAGAAAATTAGCCTTTATTCAGGTCAGGTTAAACAGATTTAAAATAATTCTGGTATAATATATGAATTTTACTCTATAAATTGGTCAGTAATCAAAATCGAAGCCCCTGTGTAATTGTCTCAGCCCAGAACAAACGGTTATGGAAAATTATGTTGTGTGCTATTTTTTCAGAATGTTTGAACACAGGAGAGGCGGACCAATATAAACATTGACACTTCTAGTGAGTGAGAACACTTGGCTGTACAGTCAGCTGAAACCTGTGATATAGTATAGGAATTTTTTTTTATATTTTTAGATACATGTAACAAACTAGGCTGTTGTAAGAATTATCCAGAGTGGTTTATCGACAAAAGAGAATGGGAAGCTGAGCCGCATGGTGACCTGACCCCCAGGGGAATTCGCGGTGGAAATAACCGACGCTTTGTTCATAGCTGCGTATAATGAATCATCCTATAGTATTCAGTAATTTAGAGAAAATTAGCCTTTATTCATTTTGCATTAAAATTGTATTGTATAATAGTACTGGATACAATATCAAGAGTATTCTAATTATTGAGTTTAAGTCACCATCAGTGACGTCACGAATCGGATCTAACTTTTAAGGCGGAGTGACCGGCGGTCATAGGTCAGCAGGGTTGACATGTCTAATATTTCTCAAAGTTTTAATAACCATTTTTGTGATCGGGAACAGCTCTGCCGTTAGATGTTTGTAATTTAATTCAGTAAAATAATTCAACCAGTCTGGATCAATTAAGTACAACAGAGTTTAATTGTTATAACTTAACCTTGCTAAAGTAACTGGGTAAGCGATGCGGAAGGATACAATACTCTGTCTGGGGTAGTCCAGACAAGGAAAAAATCAGTGTGGTCACGGAAGCAGCTAGGAGAGGTCAAACATCTTACCTCTCCCCAAGACCAGCCCCAACATCTAGCTGGTCGCCCAAGGTATAGTTGCTATTGTTAAGTATAGAAATAGTCTTCTCATTTGCCACTCAGGTCAAGTAGGGAGTGTTAAAGTGATAGGGAGTGAACATATTTAGATTTTGTTTTAGTTTTCTTTTAATAAATTAAATTTGTTATTAATTTGCATTTTATTGTTTCCATGTGTTTTATGTGTATACTTGTCCTGGTCACGTGGTCCACACGAGGCAGAGTTGCATTGGGCGCCGATTCTAACATCGAATCGGAATTATCATTACCGTGTAATTTATTCCACACTCAAGGTCATCGTTTATAGTGGGGATCAAGCCCCTAGGTTGATTAATTAGCGTGATCGATCCAGACCTCGATCATTGCTCTTGTATTACTGGTCTGGTGGTGGCAGCAGAGGTGACTCTAGGGTTTTGTTCAGAGCTTAGGTCACGTCATACTGGGTGTAGAATCCTAAGTCGGTCAATCGTCTTAGGACCACGTGGCGTGGAGTTGGCTTTGGTAAAAGTTTTGGAGTCCCTTGGTTTAGAAATAAAAGTAAGAATACGGGTAGAGGGAGTAGAAAGAAGGAAGTAAAGAGAGAGGAACCCGAACCCGTGTTACAATGGTGCACAGCGGTGGTTTCAACAATTTTGTTTGAAATTGTTGAAAGGCTCACGCGTCTAGCCGTTCGAACACGTGCGCGGATGCTAAGGAGACAGCCGCGGGCCAGGATTAGCAGTGCGCCCCACAAGTGCGTTTGAGTGGGGATTGGCGAATCTTGGGTCATGCGGGCTGATATGATTAAGGTTAGTTAGTAAGATTAGGCTGTTAAAATAGATTTATTGAAAAGGAGACCGCTCCGAGTTGATTGGACTGGGTACCATACTCGACCCATTGCAATTAATTCAGAGGTGTTGGGAGCCACCATACTCTCAACAGCAGTTCCTTGAGGGCTGTCGGGGGCGGATATATCTGTGGGACGCCAGTAGATAGTCCGAGGGCGTTATTAGACGACCCAAAACGCTAGGAAAAACGTAATCCGTGAAGGGCGTTGCGGCCTCCGAGGGACGGACTAGTAACCTACCTAGCAGCGATTCAACAACTAAGTGATCGCACACTTAGTGGAGGTTGAGTCGTCCCTAGTCATAATTGTTGCTGAAAGCTGCGTGTCGCTCTGTTGGAACCTAGATGGTGTGGCCTCTAGGCTAGGTGTGGTACGGCGAGCCGGTAGGAACAATTATAAGATTAAGTCGAGTGCATTTTTTTAATTAAGTATACTTAAATTTATAAAGTAATTTCCGTTTATTTGCGTTGTTCTAGATTAATTTTTTTTTCCCTAAATTCAATCCCCGGTTAAAATTTTTTTCCAAGTGTTTAGCGTTTTCTTGCATATTAGGCTAAGTGCGTACGTTAAGTTTTGTTATTCCCTGTTCTATTAGTCTAAGTCAGAGGCGTTGTTAATCCTCTGGACTTAGGGCTATATGTCGGTCACGATAGATAAGTGAAGGAGTTTAAGGGATAATAAGTTGCGTGTAAATGTTATTTGTCCGTGGAATATTTCTAAGTATTTTGGGATAAGTTTTCGGCTAAGTCGATGTCGGAAACTCGTTAACTGTAATTAATTTGTATTCGTGGGTCACGTGTATGATCTGGGCGTCATTAGGATTCCCCAGTCGATGCGCGTGATATTTTCTAGTTTTTACCAGTAAGACGGTAGAATTGTGTTTGTAGACTTAGAATTCTGTTTTCAGTAGAAACGTAGGTGGAAAATTTTCTAAGTCCAGCTTGGGCTAGAATCTGACTTTTTGGCGGAAATTCTAATTTTCATGTTTCGTGTATATCCTAGGGTCAGTATTACTCTCTAGTGCGCGCAAGGGACGTAATTCTGTTCGTAAGCATTAAACAGTGATAATTACATTTTTGCCGAATTTAGTTATTTTTCGAGAAAATCGTGTTGTAATTTTGTCAGAGTCCATTTGAGGTGAAAATCTCGGATTTTGACGAAAATTCGAATTAGTGAGTGTTGAAACCGCCCGAAGTGTCAGTATTGTTCTGTATACAACGTCAGTAGTAAATAATAACGTATTTATATCTGGGAACGAGAAACCCAAATTTTTGTGAATTAAAGGAGTTTTGTGATATTTGGGGTGATAGAAATTTTTTTTCCCTCGGAGTCAGAAAAATTGGCAGAGTCCAGCAATTGAGTAAAAACGCAGTTTTTGATAAAAATTCAATTTTTAGTAAGCATTTATAGGTCCTGGGTGTCTATATTAATCGCTAGAGCGGTTTATTAACGTAAAACTAGTTATTTTCCTTCAGAACAAAAATTTTGATTTTTCAGCGTTTAAGCGAAAAAGCGCGGGACTTAGTTTTTTTCAGCGCAGCTGGTCCCGCTCCATCAGTCATCAGTGGCCACGCTGCTCACTTCAAGCGCGTTTAGTATTCAAGTACAGTAAATATTCTTTATTAATCCATCACGAGTGCTGCGCGTTAGTTGCGTTATCATTTAAATTGTTTTATATAAATTAGATTCTTTAATTTTTTTTAACGTAAAGGACTTAGGTTTCAGCAATAGAACTGCGGGATATTTCACGGTCAGACACGAGTGCGGGGCAGACACTCATTCATTGGATTCACTTCAGCGATTCTCTCGATAAATCGTTGTATTTCCTATTTTGGGAATTTAGTAGTTTTCTCTTAGAAAAGAGTTGTGATTTTTTTTTATTGGTGTAAGATCACGGTTGTAGTGAGTCCGGGTCGAGGGTGTACTAAAGGGTAGTTTAGAAGAGACGTGGCACACCAGGAATCACAGAAAATGTTTAACCCTGATAATGACCAGTCAGTAGGGACCAGTGGGAATGGGAGTGTAGAGGATAGAACCTCTTCCGACACCACTGGGGATCGCTCAGGTAGCGATACTATTATTGACATGAGTGGGGAGTCTTGCGAGGAGTCGTCCCATGAGTGGGGAGAGCCGTCTTGGGTTCCCCCACAAATAACATCGACGCCATGCCAGCAGGGTAGACAGGGGGCCTCAGTTAGTATGGCAGGACGTCCCACTTCGCTCGGTAGAGAACAGCAACCCGTTCAACGGGAACATGAACAACCACACCAACAGCAGGAACTACCCAACATAACACCAATACCACAGCACCCACAACACCTAGGTACACCTCATCCGTCACTACAACAAAACCTACCCCATCCTCAATTCCCATACCTACCCCATCCTCAATTCCCATACCAACCCTTCCCCCAACCCCAGGCCACTCCATACCCATTCCAACCCCAGGCCACCCCATACCCATACCCATACCCATTCCAACCCCAGGCCACCCCATACCCATTCCAACCCCAGGCCACCCCATACCCATACCCATACCCATTCCAACCCCAGGCCACCCCATACCCATTCCAACCCCAGGCCACCCCATACCCACCCCAACCTCAATCCACACCCCAACCCGAGGCCACCCACACCATACCTCAGCCTCAACCCCAACCTCAATC